TTTTTAATAGAGATAGTTAATATGTAGCCATATAAGTTATCAGATGAGTAGCCAAAGCTGTGGATGTGTTATAAAAAAGTAATAATAGTTTGAAAGTGAGAGAGTAGTAGTATGTGGTTGTAAAATAAAAATTTGTTGTAACAAGTATTAAATTGGATGTTGTTATAGTATTAGTTAGCTATAGTGATTTTGTTATGACCTTCTAAAATAGCTCCTACTATTTGAGAGTAATTGTTGTCTAATTTATCATCCTTTATAATTAGATTAGTATCTAATATATTATTGTTAATTAAAGAAAATTTGGAAAGGATAGGTATGGATAGATAGTAGGTATAACCTAATAATTGTAAGAAAAAGTAATTAAATAAGGGTTGAGACACATATAGTAGATGTATATAGTATTCACTATAGTGCAGTTTGATTGCTAATTTTAGTGCATAGTTAAAGTTATTATATTGTGTAAAGTTGTATTGATAGATGTGTTTTAGAAATGAGTTGAGTGTTTGTGGATATAGAAGTAAGGATAGCTTTAGATGTGTTAAACATTGATTATAGCAAGAGTTTAAATCATATAATGTATTGTGAATAGATTTTTGCAGAGCTTTCTTGATGTGAGATGATAAAATAGGGTTCAAAGAAGTAGAAAATTCTTCTGTAGATTTGCTCACTGTATGCTTGGCTCGCACAGCTGTGAAGAGTACTATAGCCTTTGATTGTAGCTAATTCTTTAGTCTAAAAATATATATACAATATAAATAAAGTATAATATTAATATATAAATATTAAATCTTAGTCTAACAAATATACCATGTCCAATACCTATATAGAAAGTATTGTAAAATTTATTTCAACATGTAAGTCTTTATAATTTTTCTTGTTTAAACAAGGCTAATTATATATGTTGCAATGGTATGCATTTCAAATATTAGTAATATTGGAAAAACCCTAGTGACCTTGTATATAATATTATACTGAAATTAATATTAGAAAATATTACAGTCATAACTTTAAAAAGTCTATAAAAGAAAATAATATTCATATTTCTTAAATTCAAAAAAAATAATGCAATCAATTATTAAATTAAACAATATTTTTTGTGATAAAACAAAAACTATTGAATATTTAATTGAAACAAACATTATTAAAATTTCTGAAAAATGTTCAATATGTCAATCAGAAATTTATCTTTACAATACAATTTTATTTTGTAAAAATAAAACTTGTTATAAAAATATTTTGATTTTTAAAATACTATTTTTTTTAATTCAAATTTAATTTCATCACATATTCTTTTAATTGGATACTTTTTTATCAATCGAATTAAAACAATAACATTAATTAATTTTACTAATTTTATAGCTAAAACAGTAATCAAATTTGTAAAATTATTTCGAAATAAAATTATTAATTCTTTAACAGAAAATGACTTTTTGTTAGGTAGTGATTATGAAATAATTGAAATTGATAAAAGCAAATTTGAAGATTTCTGAATTGTTGGAATAATTCAACGTACAAAAAACAAAAAAAATAAAGCAAAAATTAATTCTATTCAAAAATGCTATTTTAAAATTGTAGAAAATAGAAATACTGAATAATACATAGAATTATTAAAAAATGTATTAAAAAAGCATCAAATGTATATAGTAATAGTTGTAAAAGTTATTGTAGTATTGAAAAATATGGAATTAACCATAAACAAGTAAATTATAGTAAAAAAAATATCAAATTATTAAAATGAAAATTTTATAGTAATACAATTGAATCAGTTTAGAATGCTTTTAAACTTAATTTACCAAGACAAAATCGAAACAAAAAATTTATTCAAAAATATTTATTACAATATATGTGGTATCAAAAACATAAGAATAATATATGAAAAGCATTTATTGATTGTTTAAAATAAATAATTATACTTTATAACCATTTTTGTTTTCTGTTTTTTTATCATGTTTTAATTTAAATTTGATAGCCTGTTGTTTTGCTTGTTCACTATTTCTTTTCTTATTAATATAAAATCATTTTAATTATATTTATTTTCTTTTCATAAAAAACACCATAATTTTTGATATTTATCAAAATAAATTCCATTATATTTACTAGTATTATTTCTTTGTAATTTACAATTTAACATATTTTTTTTTGATGTTGTTTCTTGTAAGTTACATTTATGATTATCTGTTCCAATTCTATTTTTATGATTAATCATTTTGAATTTTGGATAAATCATTTAATGAAGAAATAAATGTTTTTGTTTATTTTTTTCTCTAATGCTTGTTTTAATATAATAAATATTATTATTTTTATCATAATACCAAGTATAATTTTTGATTAAATTGAAATTATCAAGATCTGTTAAGAATGTAATATCTGGAGTTTGTGTTGATATTTTATTAAACAAAGTTGCATCGATTTCTACTAAGCGATAAGAATTTGATTTTCTTTGTGGTTTGATGATTGGTAATTTAATCCAAGCTGACAATACTTCAAACAAATCAAATATTTTCTTCCAAGGTGATTTTTCAGTTTCTTTCTCTAGCGAATATATTTTTAAACTTCCAATTATAGAACTTTCATTAAATTTATACAATTTCAATTTTTCTGAGTCAAATTTAAAAAAAAATTTTTTGATAATTTTTTTTAAATTTATTAAAATTTTTATTTAAAATTATTACAAAAAAAAATACAATTCAATAAAAAAATAAAAATTTGGTTCAATTAGTTATTAAATTTTTTAAAAAAAACTTAATATGCAGTTCTGCTATGAACAAGCTTAAACCATGGAACCAAAAAAAAAAGAAGGAAAAGCCAAGATTTTAGAAGAAATTGGTGTCGGCCCCCAGACCATTTATGACACAAAAACAGTAAACTAAAAAGAATACTGCTTCACCTTTCTTTATACTCATCTATTCAAAAGAAAATAAGTAAATATAATAGAGTTTCACCATCAAAAAATTATAAGAAAACTGTTTGTTAAGTCATTTGAGAGCCAGGTATCTCAAAATCAAATGAATTCAAGATAGAGCTTCTGGACTGGATCTTTTATTTTTGATACAAAATGTATAAAAATATCAAAACTTCATCCAAACAGCCAACTCAGATTGCTCTACTACAATAATTATCATAGTTTTTAGCAAGAATCATACTAGGATACCAACTATATTCTTATTGGATTTTAGAAAGACTTATAAAAAAATTGACAAGTTCACTCTTTTCTATTATATCATTTAGAAATTTTATACATGAACTAGTAGAAATTCTTTAGAATAGTTTAAACTACTAAAATTTAGTAGAGATTCTCTAGATTAGTTTAAACTACTATCTCAGAAGCCCTATCTAATAAAATGTGTAGTCATCAAAGAGTGAAACAAGTGAAATGAAAATTTTTTGCAGATCAACAGTTTATTTAAATGATTATCATACTAAATATAGATTACTATTAAAAAAAAATCATATGATTATCTTTTATTGATAATAATTCTTATTAATACTATTGATTTAATCTGTTTATTTATATTAGAAATAATTTTAAATTTGAATATTCTATGTACATAATATTTTTTTTTAATCTTTATTTAAAAGTACAAATAAAATTAATTGTTACAATTTATTTTTATTATTGAAATACTGATTTGATTGTTTATATTACACTTACAATTTTGTACTTATTGAAATATTTTTATTATTATTCATGTCTACATTATCTAGCAGGAATAATCAACAAAATATTTATGAAGTCTTGCCTCTTTCTTATGATGAATCACAAGCATCAAGTATTTAAACATTAACTTTTCTTTCTAAAATCATTGTAATTTTTATAAAAACAAATTTTTACAAAAAATTTCAATAACAATTATAACAAAATGACTACTTTCTTTCCAACAGCAGGTGTTCCAGTAGTTAAACAAATCAAAACAATTACTGAAGAAATCATTGCTTCTACTGAATATATAATTTATAAATTATTTATAAAAATTTCTTAATATATTAATTTGTTATTTTATTATTTAGATGAAATCGAATATTTACGAAATCATTTTTCTCAAAAGTTTTCTAAAATAGGAAACAAAGTTAAAAAATTAGAAGAAACCATTTTTTTTTACAAGAAATGTTTGTTCACTTTATTTATTATTATATTTATTATTTTAATTTTGTTTGGTATTTATATATACCAAACACAAAATATTCATTTAATGAATATTCAAATTCTTAGTTTTGAGTTGAAATCGAAATTAAAAAAGAACTTTTTAATGCTTATTTAGAACTAATTCAAAAACAGTTCTTGGAATTTATAGAAACAATCAAAATAAAATAATTTAATTTTTTAATAATTTTAATGCTAATTGCTGAAAGCATGTTTTAGATTGTTTTTCTTTATTTATGATATGTTTGAATCTAATTATTTGCTTCAGATATATTATAAATAAAGAAAACTTTAAATAATTAATAAACTGCACATTATATTATATATTTATCATTAAGTTGTTTAACTATAAATAAACTTCAAGTTCTTATTTATCTATGTTATATAAAATTTTATTATAAAAATGTCAAAATTTTACAATTTTATATGTAACTTGTTGCCAAAAAAAATGTCTGGTAATAATATGACAAAAAATCAACTTTTAATAAAAATTAATAAACTAATAACAGCACTTAATGATCAAAAAGAACATTATATTAATAAAATCAGTCTTTATCAAACAACTTTTGAAAAACAAAAACAAGAAATAAAAGAAAATCATGCTAATGAAATTAGTCTTTACTGAGAATTAATTAATACAAAAACAAATACAATTACAACTTTAATGTCTACAATTGAAAATTATAAAAAAGAAGTTGAATGAATTGAAGAAATAAGAAAAAAATATGAATATGAATATAGTGAAAGATTAAAAAAAAAAGGTAAAATTCTTAAACATGAACAAAAAACTCATAAACATGAAAAAGAAGAAAGAGAAAGAACTTATAAACATGAAACAGACCTTATGCAACAAACTATTAATCATTTAAAACAAACTATTAGAGATTTACAAACTCAACTTAGAAATTATGAAAATGTTTCTACTCCTGAACTATACTAAAAATTTTTATTGAATATTTTTTTTTTCTTTTAGATCTGATATGTAAAATTTTTTTTTTTTTTTTTTTTTTTTGTTATGCCAAAGTAGAAACTTTATTAAGTAATAAAACAATTACATTAAAGATT